TGGCAGCAGAATATGATCTCAAAAAGAAGCAATGACTCCCTCTGATGATCTAGAAAATTAAAATTAAAAACCAGATGGAAGAATTTTCATCTCAACGCAGCTCTGTGACTCCATGCAGGAAAAAGCTTTGGGGAAAATCAAAGTCACAAACAACTATAAAACATTTCACAGTCTTCCCTTTGGTGTGTTTGTCCTGAGGGAAGTTTTCAGAAAATCTGGATTTGCACAAAAAAACAGGGAGAAAACTTTGGGAAGGAAGAAATGATTGCGTTCCATCCGTCTTGTCTGTTAGATGAGACCGTTAGCTCATCTTGGTTTCTATGCTGGAAATGCGTGGGCACGAATGGCTCCTTTACTATAATCTACTTATGTTTAACTTTGATGTGTTGAGGCGTTAGTGGAGGCCATCCCTCAGCCGGGCCGTTAAACGCTCCATCCATCAGCCAGGAAGCCACTGTTACAGAAAGCTGGAGGTAAATGACCTGAGGAAGCTCAGGCTTCGTTCTGTTAGAAATAAAACCGTCTGTTTATTCTGATGGGATTTTATGTTACAGATCGTAACACATAAGATCACATGTTGGTGTAGTCATGTTCAGAAGGATCCAACAGATGTATAAAGCTTTAGCGACCTGACTGGGCTTTGAAATGAACCAGAACTTTCTCCCTGACCTGCTGAGGTCCTGGGTCTGCGTATGTGGGTCCTTCACCGATGTTCTCAGAAACAGAACAGCTGCATCATTAAGTGATTAAAGGGAACGGCCAGGAAACACTGCTGTAAGTGGATTTTATTTATTACCAACCAGGACTGAAATTAAGCAGGAACGATCCAGTACAGTCAAAGAGGCGGCGGTTCCAGGAAGAGCTGCTGCTCCGGTTTGGTTCCACCTATTTCAGCGCACAGTTACTAACTTATAGAGATGGATATGCAATGTTAAATCTCACACACGGTCTTTTAGTGCGTATCTGATGTTTGGCAAACTTTGCTCTGCCTGCTGTAGTCATGCAGAATCCATCTTTGCACATGCTGCACGCTTAGATCCTTGTCTGCACTTACGCTCCACCCTGATGCGCTCAGCAGCTCATTGCACACCAGACTCTGCCCTCGCTACCTGATAAACTATACGTGGCTGATAAATAACATCTGCCAAGTGCAAAAAATTGATTTTATCTAGATTTAGGGATTTTGTTGCTTTCAGTTTAGAAGAGGTGATGCAAAACTTTCTTTAACTTCTTCCAAAGGACTCTTGAAATTATATCCATAACAAATATTTTGGTGCTTATTGGTTATTTCTTGATAAAACCCCGAAGGAAAATTCATATACATCATATATGACGATTTATCTAATCATGCCTTCTTCTATCTATTCAATTAACAAGCAAATGTTTTCCTGTATTGTTATAAAAACTTTCATCTGTTTTCTTTGAATATTTCAACATTATAGTTT